TCAGAAAAAAGGCACTAAGATTAAGGAAAACTGGGAAAGGCTTTTTGTAGAAGTTGGGACTTTGAATTCTGAAGGAAGTCAGGGAAGCTAGAAGGCAGATATAAAGAGGGGCTCAGTATTCCAGACATGGAGGATAGCAGGGAAAAAGTCAGAGATGGAAAGTTCCAGGAACAGCAAAGAGGACTATGTTATTGGATTGAGGAGTATGTGAGTGAGTAAGGTGTAAGAAGGTTGGAAAGGTAGAAAGGAGCCAGGTTATGAAAGGCTTTGAAAGCCAAACAGAGAATATTCTAGCTTCTGCTTATACTTGATCCTGGAGGCAATAGGAAGCCACTAGAGGTGACTGAATAGAGGGTGACAAGATCAGTTTGACAGCTGAGCAGAGGATGGATGGTATCCTTCTGCCCCATTGACAGCTTTAAATGTTTGAAGACAGTGACCATGACAATCCTCTTTCCTCAATCTGTTCCTCTTCAGGACAGGATGACGTAGCTCTGTTTGCCCTGGTCAGGTCCCATCTGGCGTGTTGTGGTTAGTTCTGGGCGCCACTTAGAAAGACATCGACAGTGTATCCATTATGAAGGAACCCAGAGTGATGAGGGCCCCATAAACCAGACCATATGGGGATCCATCGAAGGGTTTGGAAAGGTTTAGCCTGGAACAGAGAGCCAGGAATGACATGAATATTGTTTTTAGGAAATTGAAGGGACGTCCTGTAGGGGAGGGAGTTGACATTTTGCTCGGCTCAGGCAGCAGAATTAGGAGCAATGAGTAGAAGGCAAATTTTAAATATAATCTAAGTACAATTATAACTTTCCAAAAGGGGAATGGGTTGCTTTAGGTGATAGTGAGTTTTCCCTGATTGGAGGTCTTCAAAAGAGGTTTGGGGGAGCACTAGTCAGAGAAGATGTGGAAGGAATTCTGGATCAAGGGTAAGTCTGAATGGTTACCTCTAAAGTCCTTGCCAATTCTGAGATTCTGTGGGTCTAAAATTCCCCAGTTCTTTTACCTGATCCTATTATGGCAGGGTTTCCAGTCCTTTCCCCCTTCCTGACCCACCCCACCTTCTCTGTCTCTCCTTCTGGGGTGCTTCCTGGCTTGCCAATGTCCTTCCAAAAATACCACTTTCAGATTTGGGACAGTATTCAGGAGCTCAGACACTTTGCTCCCCTCCTCCAGCACCCATTACCTGGGGGGACAAGCTAGGCTTTCCTCATAGCCCCAAGGCAGACAATTCAGGCTCTCATGAGCCCAGGGTTGGACTAAGGATTTGATATGGAAGGAGTTAGGGAGAGGGGCAGGGGCAGAGAAGGGAAGCTGCTATAGGCAAAAGCCTTTAAATATTCATCCCAACTATTACCTCTTATGTACCTCTTTCCTTTCAGTCTTGAAGTTTTTTTTTTCTCTTTCCTAGACTTAAAAAAGAAATTACAAATTAACCTCCAGCCTGTTAACACAGAATGGGAGAGCTGGAAAGGCCTTGAGAGTGTACAGTGCTAAACAGAGAACATAGAATGGCAAAGCTTGATGGATCTTTAGAATACATGATATCAGAGCTAGAAGGGGCCTTAAAACACAGAATGTCAGAGCTGGGAGGGACCTTAGAACACAGAATATCAGAGCTGGGAGGGGCCTTAGAACACAGAATGTCAGAGCTGGGAGGGACCTTAGAACATAGAATGTCAGAACTAGGAGGGGCCTTAGAACACGGCATGTCAGGTCTGAAAGGGACCCTGGAACATAGAATGTTAGAACTGGATAGGGCCATAGAACATAGAATATCAGAACTGGAAAGGACTTTAGAACATAGAATGTCAGAACTAAGAAGGAACTTAGCACAAAGGATACGGAGACCATTCAGTCCACTCTCCAATCTGATAGAAGATCAGAGATGGGCCGTGACCTGCTCAACATCACTGAGTACACCAAGGAGGCTGAATGGAAATCAAACTCTTGTTCTCCAAGGCTAGGGTTTCCCCCCTACACCAAGCTTCAGCAAATGCCTTAGGAATAACAAAAATAGTGATAAAAATTATAATGACAATAACTAACATTGATGTTGTACTTTAAAGTTTGCAAAGTTCTTTGTAAATATGATCTCATTTGATCCTTGCAACAACCCTGGGAGGTCGGGGTTCTTATCACCGCCATTTTACAAATGAGGAAATGGAAACTGAGGGACATTGAGTGACTTTTCCAGGGGCACACAGCTAGTGGGTATGTAAAGAAGAATCTGACTCCAACCCAGGCCTTCCTGATTCCAGACCTAGCATGTTTCTGCAGCACTCCAAAGGTTATGAAGTGCTTTCCTTCTAGCCCTAAGGAGTAGGTGGAACAAGTTTTTCAGATGAAGAAACTAAGGCTCAAAAAATGACTTGTTCAAGGTCACACAGCCAGGACTGGCACCTTGGTCTGCTGGATCCTGGTCCTCTGCCTGTTTCCCCAGAGCTAAGCTTCAAACACTTTCATTGGGTTATAAACCACTTTGCAACTATTATTAAACTTGAATTAAAGTTCAAACTTCAAAATAGCCCCGTGATGGAGATTGCCATCATGGAGGGGGTGTAGAGGAAAGAGCACTAAATTTGGAATCAGACGAGCCAGGTTCCAATCTTGTACGTGTTCCCTGTGTGACCTCACACAAGGCCAACCTCGGCCAAGTGACTTCGTCTCCCTCACCTTTACTTTCCTCTTCCAGTAGATGAAGGGTTTAGACTACAGGACCCTCAGGATTCTAGAGTTTATTCTTGAGAGTCTGAGATTTTTTACTCATGCCAATCCTCCATTTCCAGAAGTATCAGTTGGACCACAGGAATACAGCTCTAGAACTGGAAGGCATTTCAGAGGCCAGCCCCCCAGATCTTACCCCTCAACGGGCCGTTTAATGAGCCACTGTGCCTTCTCTCCCCACTCCCAGTGTTCCCCTGGTAGCTGCTAAGCCTTTGGTGAGGAGTTTCTCTCTACTTGGCTAGACTGGTTCTTGGGAGACAAATACACTCTCCCTTGCCAGGCCTGTGCTAAAGCCTCCCTGGCCTGGTGAGAACTGTCAGAGACTACGTTCTCCTGGCACTGCCTTCCAGGACCGGGATCATTCCTGTGCTGCAGTGAGATCTCAGTGGAGGAATATGAGCATCATGCTATATCCCCAATAGAATGTAAGCCCCTTGAGGGCAGGGACTATTTAACCACTTGTGCCCAGCAACTAACTCAGTGCCTAATGCATACTAAGTGCTTAATAAATACCTTTTGATTGATTATTATGCCCATTTTCCTGGGAAGGAAACGGAGCTTCTGAAATATCAAGGAACTTGCCCAAGGTCACGTAGTAAGAAGCTGCTGGGTTGGTCCAGTGCTGTTCCGCCATGGTGTGGATCTCTGAAGGATCATTTCATTGATAAGCTGGCAATGATGGCAGCCAGATGTGGTCAGGACTAGGACACAAGTTAAGTGTCTGAGAAGTGACGATTAATAATAACTATATAATAAGAGCTGACATTTACATAGTATGTGCCATGGGCCAGGCACTGTGCTGTATAATTATTATCCCAGTTGATCCTCACAACAACCCTGGGAGGTAGGTATCATTATTATTTCCATTTTACATATGAGGAAACTAAGGCAAACAGAGGCTAAGTGACTTGCCCAGGGTCACACAGCTGGGAAGTGTCTAAGGTCAGATTTGAACTCAGGTTTTCCTGATTCCAGGCCCTCCAGATTGTCCCTTTTAGAGGAGAATTCAAGGAAGGCAATACTACAGGAGGTAGCCATTTGGGCCACAAGATGACCCGGTCTTTCTCCTAGAGGCAAAGCCCAGAGGCATCTTAATTGAAAGATAATCAGATGGTCAGGGAGGGCAGTTAACTTACTGTGTGACTGTAGGGAAGTCACTATATATCTCTGGACCTCACATGTCTTATCCTTAAAATGGAAGAGTGGGACTAGATGTTTTTTGTTTGCTTGTTTGTTTTTTAAAGGCAGTTGGGGTTAAGTGACTTGCCCAGGGTCACACAGCTGGTAAGTGTCAAGTGTTTGGTCTGAGGCCAGATTTGAACTCAGGTCCTCCTGACTTCAGGGCCGGTGCTCTATATCCATTGCACTACCCAGTTGCCCCAAGGGACTAGATATTTTTTAGAGGTTGTTCCCTGTCTTAACTTTTTGTAGTTCTGTGAGGCTCTGGTAAGAATCTCATAGAAGCCACTAGGCTCTCTCAGACCCCTCCTGGGTATTGGTTCCCACTGAAATTGTGAAGTTGGATAAACAGGATCTTAAAATCCTAGAGACAAAGAATATGAGAACTTAGAATATTAAAATTGCAACATAACTTAGAATATGAAATGTTAGAGTATAACAATAGTGTCAGTGTTAAAAGGGACCTTAGAACATAGAACATGATGTCAGAGTGGGAAGAGGCCATAGAACACAGAACACAATGTCAGAGCTAGAAGGGGCCTTAGAACACAGAACACAGTGTCAGAGC